AGACCTACAAGGACAATGACTTTAAAATATCTCCCTCTCTGTATATATATATATGTATGTTTCGTTCTTGTCAGCCAAATTGAGCTGTAGGCCTTTTGGCCTTTGCCCCACCCTTAGCCACTCACCGAACTGTGACTGTGCAAATTTTGTGTGTCTGTCTGTCTGTCTGCATGTTTGATTATATGTACTAAATCATTTCATTCTTTTCTTTCACTCCCTTTTTTTCGTGTCTTGTTTTGGCAGTGCCAGGGGGGCCATGAGTTTATTAACTTGTTTAAAGACTGCAACGTTTAACCCTTTTAAAGGCACTTCACAGGAAACAAAAAAAAAAGCACACAAAAATGGAGAAGAAAAACGTGTTGAAAGGGACAAAAAAACATTTAAGAAATTGTTCACTGTGACTGAGGGACTATAAAAGAAAATGTTAATGTTTAGAGCAACAGAATTTGATGCTTAAGAATTGATGCCGAGCACATTTAAAGATTAAAGCGACTTTTGGCAGAAACAGAAGCAGAAACATATACTGTCCTTCCGTTTCAACTGTTTGTGCCTTTTTCGAACAATTCTTTCGCCTAAATGCACTTATTATTAATATTTCCATTCAACTGTAATAAATTTATGAGCGATCGCCAAAAAAGGATTCACAAAATTCGCATTCTAATCAATCGAAAAAAAGCTCTACAACTGTTAGGATAGAACGAAAACTATTTAAAATTTGAAGAACCATTAAAATATTTGTAATGTAATTTTTTGTTTATGGAAATCAATTAAACATTAAGCTGCATTTTCTAGCAATCTACCACTGATTTTTGGTGGCAGTCTCTTGCCTTCAAAAACAACAACAACAAAAAATTTGAAGTTGAAATAATTGATTTGGATCTTCTGTCGATTCGGGAGTCTCGATTGGCATTCTTTGGCTTTGAAGCAGACCTCAACACAAAGTGCCCGGACCCACAATCCCCTTACTACTCAAAGGATAAACCAAATGTGGTGCAGTCGCTTTACCAGTGTCTGTCTGTGAGTGCGTGCATGCATGTGTGTGTGTGTGTGTGTGTGTGTGTGGGTGTACCAGGGTGAAGTCAACAGACTTTGATCTTTGCCCGGGCGCCTTTGCCTTTGACAGCAGCCCAAACAACAGCCAGCAGCAACAACAAAAAAAGGGGTTTTAAATAAATAATCTTAAATGAGGAAAAAATATACATACATACATACATACATACACATGCACAATGGAGTGTGTGTGTGTGTGTGTGTGTGTGTGTGGAGGAAGGATGTTGCTCTCCGTCTGGCATTGTCTTGAAACGTTTTGGTGGAAATTAATTCGAGCAGAAAATTCATTTACAACATTAGCGAGACACACACACACACACACACACACAGAGTGAGCAAGGACTCCGCCTGCTCTTTAGGGTTTTATGACATAAATTACATCAAGCGCAAAATTTTAATATAATTTTCACTAAAAACGCAACGTGAAACTTTTTTAGTTACACTTCGTGCTCGTCAAAGGGTAGGCAAAAGGCGAGTGGAGTGGGAGTGGGAGTGGTGGCCACGGGGAAGGTGTGCTGTAATGCGGGGGTGGGGGTAGGCAACGCGTGTGTGAAACAGGATATCCGCTGCGGAAGCTACAAATTTTCCACTTTTCCACACAGAAAATGAGCGAGTGAGTGAGTAGGAGGGTATCCAGGCACCTTCCAAAGGATGTGTGTGCGAGAATGGGACGAGAAAATGGGTAAAATTTAAGGAGAATTCAGGCAGAGCGAAAGGCATGTGTGGGGAGACTGTGTGCGTGCGTGTGTGTGTGGAAGCTTGTCACTAATGTGCTTCTGCTTACAACGCCATTTTATATTTATTTCGTTGCAACGTCTCAGGGAGCGAGAAAGGGCGCAACTACTACTACATATTTGCCGAGTCCTTTTAATCATTTGGCAAACTTTCTCTGACACGCAGCAGCAGCAGCAGCAGAACCTTTTCGTATGCCAAAAAAAAAAAACTACACATATATAAGTAAGCACTTACACACACACACACGCACACATATATGTACACACGAGAATGCAGAAGCACAAAGTCCTTTTAGTTTTTAATGTAATTTTGAGACTTTTTCAGCTGCTGTGTCACTTTGCACTGTCGTGGATAGATAGTGTACGAGAGTAGTGCTCTCATCCACTCAGCCCTAACGTATCTCTCTCTCTCTCTCTCTCCCCCAAAAAACACACACACACACACAGAAAATATTCTCTTAGTTCGCTGGTTGTTGGCGAAAAGTTTTTTGTATTTTTAAATGATTTGTCAGGACAGTGGAGAATTGTAGCAGTGGCTAAGGGTTTCAACGAACGACAAACGCAACTTGGAATTTAAACCATTTTCAAATCAATTTGTCTCGAAATTTATTTATATATATATATATATACATATATATATATTTATGCCTTCCGCAGGGTATTACCATATTAATGATCAATGATTGTGCCGCTCATTTGAAAGCATCTGCGATCTCATGCATGTCCGTTTTTCCTCAGTTTTGCATGCAAGCGAATTTTAACTCAATCAAATCTTTCACATTGTGTGGACTTAGATTCCTCAATTTAACACAGAAAATATCAATATAGTAATATATAGTTCCTAGTTTCAAAATTATACCTTCGTCAAATAAATCTTATAAAACCCAAAAAAAAGAATGAAAAAAGGGAGAGAGAGAGAGAGTTTTATAGTTAATTCTCGCACCGTGCCTAACTTTTGTATACATAATATATAATAATATAAAATATATGTAGATGTCGAATATTCTCGCTGTTACCATGCCGCAGCATGTCCCTTACTTCTCTTTTTCTCTGTTTTCCCACCAACGAATTACCATCCGGGTACTGTAAAGTTAGAGAGAGAGCGTGAAATTGTTTTTTCTTCATCCCGACTGCCACAATAGTCCGATCTGATCTACATTCAGCAATCCGTAGGCTTAATGGCACATTAATATTCGCCAAGACAATTTTCTACCAGCACTCAGCCCTAAAAAATATCAATTTAAATGCCAAAAATATAGGAAAATCACAATAATGGAACAGAAATGAGTTAATAATGGGAGACTCAAATATCTGGCTAAGCTTTGTAACAATAAAAGTTGCATTAAATTTATTATTTTAAACCTATCATGTTAAGTATAAACACAATGAATTAAATGCCACTGGAAGGCTGACAAATTTGAGGTGATTAAGAGAAAAAAGAGAGCACATAAATGATGAATGATGAAATACGAAACAAGTGGGTACAAGTGGGTAAGCCTTTTGCCGAGGGTCCCGCCATGCCCATACTTACGCAAAATAAAAAGGAATCGCATTGAATTGAACCAATGCGAACGTAACCACCCGACACAGAGCTCAAAAGGCATCAACAGAGGCAGGCCTCATAAATTTCATAGTGAAATTGTTAAATTTTAATAAAATCAAAGCGTATCAAACGCGATTTGTTCACCAGGCGACGACTGTTTCAGCTTCAGCTTCTGCTTCTGTTTCTGTTTCAGTTTCAGTTTCTCGATATACCCCATCCCCAAAAAGCCAGTCACAGTCGTCCTTGCCATCGTTATCCTTGTTCGCAGTCTGGTTATATCGCGTGTTTATTGTTGCAACAGTCGCGCGGGGCTCTTTAAAATAATTTAAGGCTACGCCTGCTGCTGCTGCTGCTGCTGGCCTGAGGGGTTGGCTTGGGTTCGAGGATGGTTTCGGGTAGAGCGTACAGCGTACCCGGATTCGGGTTCAAGTAATATCCAAGAGGATATTACCATCCCCCGCGTGAGACGATGCGCATTTCAACAGCAGCAGCAGCAGCAGCAGCAGCAGCAGCAGGGATATCCTCGAGAACATCGAAGTCAGCAGCCTTCGTGAACTGCTGCTGGCGGGGCTGGCGCTTTTTGTGACTCGTTAAAGGATTAAAATCATTTTAATGGATTTTTCAAGCTGTTGTTTTGTTGTATAATTGTCGCCTCTATTGTGTCTCCCAGTTGTTCCATAAATAGGGCACACACACAGACAGACAGACAGACAAACAGACAGGGCACGTCAGGGTGGTGGTTGTGTTGTGCGAATTCGTCTCTAACTGGAAGGCCTGACGACTTGTCCGCCCTGATCCATTTGTCATCATCTTTATGCTAATGGCTGGAGGTGTTAATGAAGGCAGACAGGCAGCAGGCGGCTGCTGGGCTAAATATGCTGGCAGTGCCATCAAGAATATCGATATTTATCCGGGGTTCAGCTAATACTTGCTTAGAAATAAGTTTTTATTATAAGTAAAATCTTGCAAGTCCTTGCCAAGGCAGCTATAGATTTCTAAGTCACCAAAATGATCGCTGCCAAACGACCGCACAGCTTTTAATGCTGTTTAAATTAATAGCCAAAAAATCCAAGAATCTCCAAGCCAAATCCATGCTCATCTCATTAGTGCGGGGGGGGAGGGGATATTGAGAGCTGAGCCAATTGGCCCCTCCAGGCATTTTTTGCATGGAAATGGAAACTCTACCAGATACGCGCACATAATGAGGGATATTCGCTTGGCAAGTCAGGCCCAATCGGGTTATATACACAAATCTCTAATTAACCCATAAGCCAATCCAGATGGAACTGCTACTCCTTCCCCCCTCTACCGCTCTGGCCCATAGCCTTTGGGCTTCGGTTCGTTTAACCCCTTAAAAAGGTATATTTATTTACAGCTAATTTCGCGTGCGGCCCCGCGGCTAAAATAGACAAGCAATAAGCCAGCCAGCCAGCCAGCCAGCCTCACTGCCACCCTACCCGCCGTATGCCACCTGACATTGATACGTGTGGTTCGGTGTCTAACGAGCGACAAGCCCTTGAGGCCATTTGACAAAGCCGCTTAGTTCCGTTCGGGATCCCAGGATCCCATCCGCCTACCCACCCGCCCAAAATCTGGCCCAATTGGTAATGCTATCGCTTAAGCCGGGTTTTCTTGTTGTTGTTACTGTTTCTGTTTCTGTTTCTGGTGCTTACCTGGCAACTTGAAGGGCAATCCGGCCATAAGTGGATCCGGTCCGAAGCGCTGCGGCCCAAAGGCAAACGGATGGAAGCCCTGATGGCGCACCTTGGAGCGTGGCTCCCGTGGTCCATCCACGGTCACTTTGATGGCCTTCGTGTATGTGGCTATCTGTATGGGATTCGTTGAGATGACAATTGTCAGCGTAAAGCTTTTGCCTGTCAATTAAAGCAGCAGAAGAGATTATTTTTGGGAGATTTTTAAAGATTTATGCAACGTTTAGCAACGAAAAAATCGATTGAAAAATACCAAAAAAAAACCATTAAGGAATATTTTGAAACACTCTAAAACTTAATGCTGAGCCACAGCCACAGCCACTGCCACTGCTGCCGCTGCCGCTGCAAATTCTCCTTAAGCCAATTTCAAAATAAAGGCAAAACACTTTTGGTATATGCCATCGATATGCACACAGAGACACAGAGACGATGCGTTTGGTGTTTGGTTAATTTTTTTGGGCTGCCATACCAATGCAATCAACGGGGCACAAATTGCAGCAGCAGGAGCTGCCGGAGCACCCCCACTCCCTCCGGTAGCTGCCAAATTATGCTGTGAATTTATAGATTTTCTATGACCCTATGGCAATGGGTTGCCATGAAGCGCGCATGAGATTGGGTATGCCATATGGAAATTAAAGTGCGGAATTTGGCATTTAGCTCGAATATTTTCGCGAAAATTAACCCCCGACGGGAGTTGTGAAAGCTTCATAAAAGCAGAACTAGACACACGCACACGCACACAAATAAAGCTGGCATGCAGACAGACACCAACCGAAAACAAACGAATGAATGAATGAATGAATGGCTGTATGTGTGGGTGTGTGTGTGTGTGTGTGGATGGGTCCAGGCGCTAGGGTCCTGGACAGGAACCGGTATCGGAACTGCATACATTTCCTTTGCCATCCAATGCAATATTAAGCACCATGCGGCGACTTTTACATGGCAACTATTGTGGCTGGCCTGGGCCTGGGCCTGGGCCAGGTTTGCCGCCGCCCCCTTCCCACTCCACTCCACTCTAAAAATATGAATCTGTGCATTTTTGAAATATCCATAAAGTGGAACTGTGGAACTCCCAGACGAGATGCAAGGGGCGCGAATATAAAATTCATTTGCCAAACATTTTGAATGCCAAAATGCTTGAGTTAATCAACACAAAAGAAAGGTGCGAGGGTTGCCCCCTGCAAATTGGGGGATGGCTGCACAGGGGTTGGCTGCTTCCACAGAAGAACTTTTGAGTGCTTTTTACACATAGGATTAACCTCGATTAAGCCCAAAGCTAAGATGCATTGAGTGAGCATTAAATTAGCTAAGTAAATTCAGTAGTTAAATACTTGGCAAACTTTAATTAAACTAAAACTAAACTACATTAAAAGCACAACACAATCCACTTGAGCATATCCATATACGTTCTGTCTGGCTTTTGTGTGGGTATCAAAACTCATATTCATTTCACTTAAACTTCAACTTCAGCAGCAGCCAACCAAAGTCATTTGCAGCTTTTGCCCCAAACCAAAAGAACATATAAAAAACAAACAAACTTCTTAGATTAATATTAAATTAAACGAAGCATGCAAAAAACGCAAGAAGGCGGTAATCATTAAGACAAAAGGCAACAAACAAACTGACGACAGTTTTTGGCTGGCATGGGGGCATGGGCCCAACACAAATTTTAAGGGCTGCAAAATGGCAAAGTGGAAGTAGCAGTGGAAGTAGAGTGGGGTAGAGAAGAGAAGAGAGAAGCGAAAAACCCCAGAAACCTACACAAGAAAACAAATGAACATAAACAGGCGAAACGAACCAAGAAACCCGAAGAAAATGAAATGAAACTTTTTTAATTATGCGCCCCCCCCCCCAGATACTCGGCAACAAGCGGCGCATTGAGCGGGCTGTGGGTGGGTGGGAGTGCCAAGTGGGGTGTGGGGTGGTGGTGCTGGTGGATGTAACCAAAGAAGGCTCACAAAGTGGCTAAAGACAAAGGACTTTGGCGTCTATTTATTTTCACTTCTTTTTTTTTGCAGTTCGTTTTGTGTGTGTGTTTTGCCAAATGAGCAAAAATTGCAAATAAATCTGTGTTGGCTGTGTTGGCCATTTTGCACCCCCCGCTCTCTCTCTCTCTCGACCCAAAAATAAACCAGCAGCCAGCAAGCCCTCTGGCTGTGTGTGGGGCGTGGCATGGAAAACAACGGCGACAAAGAACTTTCCCTGCTAATAAGATGAAAAACCATTAAAAGTCGACACAAGTCGCGTCCATTGCAAGTTGAGACCTTCAGAAGTGGTGTAGGAATGTGCGGCGGTGGGGTGGGGTGGTGTGGGGCTGGGGTGTCGTCGCTGGCTTGTGTGGTGGCATTGGGTGGGTTAAATGGGTGCTGCTGCTGCTGCTGCTGTGCCGGGTTAAAATGTTGTCATTTTCGCAACAAAGCAGAAATTATCACCACTTTGCAAAAGGCGACGACAACGACAACGACGCGACGACAACGATGCTGGAGCTGGAGCTGTAGCTGGGGGAGAACAGTCTGCACCCTTTTTGTAGACTGACTTTATGGGCGTGCGTGTGGGTGTGCGTGTGTGTGTGGGTGAGTACAGTAGAAACTAATTAAAATAGACCCCAAAAGGGGATATAATCCAAATAGTTATACAAGCAGCAGTTGCCATTGGTACTGGTAGCTGGTAGACTTCCTTTGACTCCCTACCTTTTTTTTAGAATATGAAATGCTACAGTGAAACCTATTTTAAGGGAAAACTCATGCTTGGCTTAGTACTGAAATTTGTACTCTTTCAGGATAACATTTCAGGCACAAGCTGCCCCTTCATCCCTCCAAAAAGCTTCACTATTTATCCATATAAATATATCTAAATACATATACGTATATGTACAGCTGTGTCTGTGTGTCTGTAAGTGTATTCCAGGCGCTAAGTGATTTTAAAACAAAGTTTTTGAAACGTTTAACCTTACACAACGAAAATGTTTCAGCAGCAGCAGCAGCCTTTGCCTGCATTTTAACTTTCGATGCTGATAATGAAGGCGAGCCAGGACCAGGACCAGGACCAGGAACAGAGCCAGAACCAGAACCAGCACCATCATCAGAGCAGAGCAGTGTGGGTGTCAGAGCGCTGGGTACAGAGCGGCGCAAGGACAACAGGGACACCCAACAAGGGTTCGTATGCTTAGGCAATTTAATGGCTGCTGCTGCTGTGCTGCTGCTGCTGTTGGGTCGGGTATTCGGGAGCTGTTAATGTCGTTAGTAGCATGGCGCCATAATTATAATTTGACATAAGACAAGAAGTCTGAGGTTGACAACAAAATGACATTTTAAATACACAGCCAGCAGAGCAGCAGCAGCAGCAGCAGCAGGACCAGAAACAACCCTCTAGGCCCAAGGCCCAAGGCCTATGCCACACCCCACCCCCACACACCTTGCAGCCGTTATGTTCTGATGACTGTGCTCGTATTTAGACACTTAACAGATCATAATTTTAACACTTTGCCTTAATGCCAAGAGAATTTGCTTAATGGCCATGGCTTGGCGAGGCTTTTGAGCCTCAGGTTTCAGGGCTGGAGAACAGCCAACCAAAAGGTCGCATGTCCTCACAACATATCATACATATGTACATACATATGTGGGCATCATATATAATGACAGTCGAAAAAAGTTTCGTAGGCCGCTCTAAGCCTCACACAAACTTGCATCTTGGGCCTTCCAGTCTTAGCTTCTGGTAAGCTTCTTAGCTGTAGCTTACACTCATGTCTTTTGGAATCTTTAACAACTAGCACCGCCCCCCTAAACAGCAACAATATCGCCAGAGTTTATTTGCATACACTTACTTAAACTACCCAGCTCCAAGGGGGTTGCCTTTTTTCCCCCTTTTCTGGAGATACAAAGATAGATTCTCTGGTCCGCCATAAATATTCATATGTTTATTTCATAGCAAATAAACAACAACAAAAAAAGGGCACAGAGAATGTATATGAAGTTGGAGCATTTTTTGGGGGAGGGCTTAGACTTTTCACTTCCACTGAGATGAAACTGTTTTTGGGTTGGCCAGCACAAATTTTGCATGATTTTTGCACTTCATTGTGTATGTATGTATGTATGTATGTATGTATGTATGTATGTATGTATGTATGTATGTATGTATGTATTGCCTATTGGAAATGAAAAGTGTTTTGAGTGCTTTGGGTGTTAGTGAGAGCTTTTTGTTGCAACTGTTGCTGAAAGAGCAAAGGAAAGAACAGCTGCTCACTATTTCTATAATATTGGCAAAAATAAAAGAAAGAAAATAAACAAACAGTCCCATTGCAGTATTTGATTGCGCGCTGGCCTCTGTACATCAAACTTCAACATAAATAAGTGACTTCAAATAAAGACTACCCCCAATTTAATAGAAGAAAGTAGAAAGGGTACATACACTCCGCATACATATAAATATTAGGCAGTATGAGGAGGATTAGGCACAGTTAATATTTATTTTAAGTCCAACATTCATTTTAATTTGATGAATCTTTAATTACGCAGCCATTTTGAATATTTTGTGCATTTTCCCTGTAGAGGCCAGTAATCAAGCAGTGAAGGTTTGTTTCCTTGTGTTCAAGCAGTGCGCTGCAGTTCACTTGAAGTTCACTGCATGCTAGCGATCAAGCAGTTTTGGTTCGTTCAGCCTGCAAGCAGTTGCTACGTCTGCTTTCGATATTTATATTCCCCTTTTTTAAATCTACAACAGCAACTGAGAAAACGATTTGCTGCTGGCGATTTAAATATTGTTGCTCTTCAATGGTTCCAGTTATGGTTTAAGTGCACAACTCCTTACATTTCAATTGCTTTCTTTTTATGTTTGGTGTAGCTTTTCAATAGCTTTCTTTTTATTTTTGTTGTAGCGTTTTATCTATTGGTGGGTCACTTCAGTTGCTCGTTTTATCTGTTTTCCCTTCTACTTCCTTTGCTACTCTAGTTGCAGTCCGCTCTCCCTGCGTCTGCTCGCGGCATTTTACTGGATGCGGTGTGAGGCAGTTAAGCAGCTGAGACGCGTTTCGATTTCACTTGCCGCAGCTCCAGTTTAATAATCATATATTGTAACCCCTTTGTTTTTTTGCGCAATTGCGTTGGCTGCTGCTGTCTTGTCCGTGTAGTTGTTGCCACTGTGTTGACATCCGCTTTTGTTGCTGT